GCCCAATGTGTACATCAGGAAATGTGCTGTACCAAGAACAACATGAGCCTTCTATGACTGCAGCAGAAGCATAGCTGAGGAAGTAATTTCACAACACTTGTGATGTTCCGTTATATGGAATAAGGTGTGTGTATATATATATATATTTATCTATCAATGTATAGGCAAGAAAATATATATTGTTTGATGGAAAACCTTGTGTAATTCCATTGACACATACTCCTGACCCAATAAATATTAATAGCATTCTTCATAGAAAGCTTCCTGAAAAAATCTATTCCCCAGCACAGGAATGGGAAAATCTTGTTCTAATTCTGTGATCTATTGCAATGCAGATAGGAGTGCTGTGACTGAAAACAGAGCAACTTGTTTTGACATGCTCTACCTTCTCTTTGAGGTTGTTTAAATTATTGAAGAATACTATGAAGTGCTTTCTATCCTGAAGTCAATCTCTGTGAATTCTATTTTAGCAGTAATATTAAACATATTTTAATTTTCTAATTCACTTTCAAAACAAAAATCCCATTTCATCATTATCCTTGCATACAAAGGTACCTGGAAGATGGGTAGCCATAATCTCAGACTCATCAAAATGTAAATCACTTTATTATATAATCTTCAGTGTACTGTGAATGTGCCTGTCTTTCATATAAAATAAATTTAAAAATGCTAATAACAAACCAAAACCATTTACACATCTGTAATACATTTTAGTCTGCACCTACACTGTGATGCACTTTGGGGTAACTGACAGTAAAAACGTCAGTGTACAGGATCCCCTGCTGTATGAATTACAGTGTTTGCTGTTTGTAGTAGTTTGTTCATGCTCCTGACTGTTGTCTCCTGAGATTTAAAAGAAGCCCTGCTGATTTACTAACACAGTGAACTTTTTAATAGGTGGTTCCTGATATGAAAATTTAACTAAAATTGTGACCATTGGTTGAGAACTGACTAATATATTTGTAGCATTTTCGAGTGAATGAATTTGACAATAGAGTTTATAAACAAGATTTATTTGGCATTTTTTTGTGGGCTATTCTCCTGGATTAAAAATCTCATTTCAAATAGGATTGGCTTCTTGAAAATTTTATCCTCGCATGCACTTACCAACAAGATTTTCATTATCACAACCTGCCTCCATATGTGGCTTGTGATTCTGTACCAGCTTGGCATACCTGGTCCATTTTGATGGATATCATGCTAAATTATAGGAGTTTTCTTTCAAGGACTTAGATTTGGATTTTCTTCCTTTTATTTCTTTTAAATTGTTTAATTTAAAGTCAATGTTTTGAATGAGCCTGAAGTGGAACAAAGATTATATTTTGGCTTAATAGTTCTCTGTTTGCCTGGAAACGGGTGTTTTATTATTTTACTTCTTCACAAAATGAGAAAAATATTTTTCAGTTCTATGCAAGTCAGTTTCTCTTCTAAATTTTGTATGACTTTTTGGAGAAAAGCTGGAAGTTTCATTATTCAGACAATTGTAGTTAATTATTCTAAAATACACACGGCAGCCTGAGCCGAATACATGGTTTTAAGAGTCCACAGAGAAGGTGGTGCTTCTGCACCTTCTGCCTCACTGCTCATGAAGCATCTTCTCTGAGCCTAACATGTCTCTTCTCTTTCATTCTGCATGGCTGTGAAGGGAGATTGAAATAAATTCCTATCTGATCAGTCAAAATATTTTTTAAAAAATACACCATGAGAAAGACAAGCCATGAATTCTAGGTCTGTGACCAAGAACACTTCTCCTTTGCATTAATGCTGCTTTTTTGGGTAGTAGTTTCTTTCTCTGATGCCTTTGTAGCCTTTGTTGACTGTAAGCTGTTCCTGCTGAATCCAGCGCTTCACATTTGTGGTGCTGTTAGGGTACACACCAGTCTCAAAATGACTTCTTCAGATGTGCTTCTGAGACTTCACACCTCCTAATGGGAAACCCACCCTGTTGTAGCCCTGGGAGGCTGAAGAGGCAAATGAAACCAAGTGCAAGTAATTCAAACCAAAATAACTCCACTAGCAGAACCTGGAAGAGTTTATAGGGCAGTCATGTTGCTGACAAGTAAGCTGCAAAGAAAAGAGGAAAATTGAGTCTGACTGGAAGATGGAAAACAGCTAGCCCTTTCCTTGGTTTATTTTTGTGTAGAGCCTTAATGCAGTGTGTTGGTCACCAGGTGTGTAAGCTCTTGACTGAAGCAGAGGAAAATGAGAACTCTATTAGAAAAAGCAAAATAGTTAAGTGCTATTTTTGTAGCTATTTCTTTCCTAGGCGGATTTTAATATTCTAATATTTCTATGACCTTTCACTTTTATTTCTTACATAAATGAGAGAATCAGGTCAGCTCAGTTCCCACATCTAATGGCTTGTTGACAAGGAAGAAAATTCATCAGAATTGCTAGTGTGGAATAAATTACTCCAAAATAGCTTCCTCATGGATATGGATCCTCTTATTCTGAAATAAGTGTTTCTTTTTTCTGATTAGCACATAAGCTGCTAGATCAGTGTTTTTCAAGTTTCTCAGGTAGACAGTGGTGAGCTTGTAGAAATTGGTATCTTCCAGAAAATCCTTTGACTCCTTGAACAACACTTGTCATTGCCATAACCCTTCCACTGGCAGAGCCCATCCCTAAATGGCCTTACCATATCAGAGCCATCTGCAGGCACCACCAGTATAAACCACAGCAAGAAATTTCAATGTCTTTAGGACATTTTAAAATCTATTAGAATTGTTTAATGTTTATAGTCTTGGATGATCTGCTGAAAAGCATCTGTCACTTGATGCTTTTCAGTTCACTTATTAAGAATATAGAAAGCTTCATTCCTTGGACAAAAAATAGATTAATTTTTTTTTTCCCCCTTGCAGTTCCAAGAATAGTCTTCGAGTTTCAATGCAAAACCCTCTTTTTTTTTTTTT